ATTGTTAAACTCAAGGACGAAAAGTCCGAATTGCGCGCTATAAAGTTATATCATAGGTCTGACTCTGACTCTACTCTGTCTTTCTGTTGTATGAGTTATCCAACTTTTCGTTCAACGGTAGTAAAGTAGAAGTTGGATCAGGAGGTGATGATGGTACTTGTTAAACGAGTCGATGAGTGTTCCTCATCCTATCCACCTTCTATCGAAAAACTTCTTGATGAATACAAGGACTTGCAGAATGAGCCGACGAGAATTACTGAGCGTGCTATGAAGCACACCATCGAGATTATTCCCGGAAGCAAGATTCCCAAGGGTCCCATTTGCCGAATGTCTCCTAGGGAACTTGAAGAACTGTGAAAGCAACTGCACGAACTTATTGACAAAGGATGGATTCGCCCTAGCTCATCTCCTTATGGTGCACCTGTTTTATTCGTACCCAAAAAGGAAGGTGAACTTCGTCTATGTATAGATTATCGTGGGCTGAACTCCGTCACTGTCAAAAACAAGAAGCCTCTTCCGCGCATTGACGATCTATTGAATCAGTTGTTGGGATGCATGTATTTTAGCAAGATTGATCTCAAGTCAGGGTACCACCAGATCGAGGTGGCTCATGAGGATCAACACAAAACGTCATTCTGGACGAGGTATGGTCACTACGAGTTCGTGGTTATGCCTTTCGGTTTGACCAATGCGTCTGCGACCTTCCAAAGGTTAATGAACGAATTGTTATCTCAATGGCTTGATTAGTTCGTAGTAGTCTACCTCGATAACATTCTAGTGTATAGTAAGACGCTAGAAGATCACGAGAAACACCTACGGATGGTCTTGCAGAAGTTACGTGAGGGCAACTTCAAACTGAATCCGAAGAAGTCTGAGTTTGCTAAGCCTGAAGTCTTGTACGTAGGGCATATAGAGAACGAGGAAGGACTGAGGCCTGAAGAAAAGAAGATTACAGGAATCAGAGATTGGCCACAACCTAAGACTATAACAACTAAGATCTTTCCTAGGACTAGCTAGTTATCCTTGATAACTGCTCCTATGAGAATATTACTGGAAAAGGAAAAACCTCGGTTGTGGGATAAAGATTGTGAGCCATCATTTAGAAAGTTAAAGCATGCTTTGACTCACTACCCTATCCTAAAGATTGCTGACCCTTCTCTTCCTTTCATCGTTACGACTGATGCAAGGCAGTATCGGATTCGGACTGTGCTACAACAGGACGACGGTAAGGGATATAGACCTATTGAGTTTATGTCCATAAGACTTCCGTCAGAAAAGTGGCCAACTCCACCTATGAAAGGGAATTGTATGCCTTAGTTGCTGCACTAGATACCTGGAAACACTTGTCAGGGAGACATTTCACTGTCTGCTTTAATCACTCTACTTTGAAGTGGATCAAGACTCAGCCTAAGCTCTTCGACGAGTTGGTAAGGTGGTCCACATTCCTTGACACATTTGACTTTGAGGTGAAAACCATCAAAGGTAAGTTTAACATGGTTGCGGATGCTTTGTCCAGGCGTGCAGATTTCTTTGGAACCATTGTCTCTTATCTCGATATCGGAAATGAACTGAAAGAATAAATCCGCCAGGGTTATGGGAGTGATCCTATTTGGAGTCCTATCATTGAAACTCTACGAAAGATCCCTGAGTTGTTTCCGAAATATCGAATGACTGATGACTTACTCTTCTTGCTGGATAAAATCGAAGAACGATTGCGTGTTCCTCACCTAGAACCAATCAAGAGTTTAATTATTGGGGAATACCATGATGCAGAAGGTCACTTTGGTTTTAAGAAGACGTATGTCGATGTGCGTGAACGTTTTGACCGGAAAGGAATGAAGGAAGATGTACTAACGTATGTGCGAACTTGTCTTGTCTGTCAAAGGAACAAACCCTCACATGAGAATCCGATGGGACTATTGTGACCGCTGCTTATTCCAAGTGAGCCAGGTGAGTCTATCTCTATTGACTTTATGAGCTTCACTAAGAGTTAAAACAACAATAGTCAGGTACTGGTCATCGTGGATAGATATTCTCGAAGTATGTTACGTTCATTCCTTTACCTGTTGAAGCTAGAACCGAACTAGTCATTCAAAAGTTTCAAATGCGATGGGTCTTTGAGTATGGATTTCCCAAAGCCATCGTATCAGATAAAGATGGTCGGTTCACCAATCTTCAATGGTTGAAGTTGATGAAAGTCTATAGAACCAGGTTGACCATGTCGTCAGGCATCCTAAAACGAATGGCCAAACTGAGCAAATGAATCGTCTTTGCCAACAACTTTTGCGAATGTATGTCCGACCTGACCAAATCGATTGGGATGAGAACTTGCCTAAAATTGCTAGTGCCTACAATAACAGTATACATACTATTACAGGAAGAACGCCTAACACACTGCATAAAGGATGGAATCCTAGGCATCCCATTGATGCATTAACACGGGGTCAGGTTCAAAGGCTATCCCCAGGTACACGAGAATTCGCAGTTTTATACGAAGAAGACATCAAAAAGGTTAAGGAAAACATACAGAAAGCCCAACTACAAATGATTGAAGAAGCTAATAGACATCGTCGACCTTCACAATTTCAAGAAGGGGACTTTGTCTTGGTTAAGTCTAAAGAGTTTTCCTTAGAAGAAAATGTGTCTCAGAAACTGCTACCTGTCTACTACGGGCCCTGGGAAGTTCTCAAAGTAATTGGAGGTGAAGATGGACCTTCCTATCGTATAGATGTACCTCCACATCTAAGGACATACCCTATCTTCCATGCGTCTAAGCTGCTACCCTATGTAGAACGTGATACCTTTCCAAATAGGCCATCTATGTTTCCACCCTCTATGAATGGAGGCTATGAAGTTGAAAGGATATTGGAACAGGGCTATTTTTCTACAGGTGGCAGAGGACGACCTCAAAAGCAATACAAGGTAAAGTTCA